AAGGACTTTTTATAGCAATTATTACACTATTTAGACAACTGATTGGTTTTTAATGGTCATATTCAACATGTCTCTAACAAGTCCTCATTCCTAGGCATATTCAGAGACCAGGTTTTGTATTTACCAATCCTATGTATGAACAGTACATTAAACCTGAGAGTATATTTCATTTGGATCCATTTATAGAACCCTAGAAAGTTGCACTTTTTTCATCACTTAGCATTTCGAGACTAATTTTTCAGTTCCAATTATCATAGAAAATGTAAAAGGACATTAGGATCCTCTGCACATTTTTCATCCTGAAATAAAAAAAGCAGTTCATTTTCTGGGGCAAATCCTGCTTTGTTTTGTTTTTTTCAATTATTATATACACAAATGGTCATGGGTTTCATAACAAAGGTTTAATTAGAATAGTTAATAACTATGCTTTCCAGGGTGTCTGAGTCATCCACAGTAATAATTAGGGAGTTTTGTTCCATACAAAATGCTTTATTTAACCTTCATGCCTTCATTCAGATAATTATACAAATGCATACATTTAAAGGGTTAAATTCTATTTCAGTTCACAGCTCAATTCATAGGAAAGTTGAATACAGAAAAGCAATGCACCAACAGAATATGTCTGAGACACCATTAAAAACGATAACACTTGTTCATTTAAATCTCTGAGAATAGACTGGAATAATCATCCTCTGACAGAATTTCATTAGGAGGGTCTCCCTTTACATCATCATAGGGCAAAATCACCATTTTACAGTAAAAGGAAAAAAAAAGCTCTGAGTATATTTACAATACATACACTATACATAAATACAAGAACAACACTTACATAATATTAATAAACTTATAACAGGTGTTGTCTAAACACTACATAGTATATAAATGCAGAGGAAACTATTGGGAAATTAGATCTTTAGATGAGATTTGAAGAAATAAATTTCTTTGCAATTAAAAACCCTCTGAACAGAAAACAAAAGAAGATTTGAAGAATTAATACATTTGCTTTCTAGTTTCACAGGGGAGTTTTATCTTTTGAAATATGGGGTCATCTTTCTATGGGCTTTGAGAAAAAGTCTCCTTTCCCCTACATCCCAACAAAGTGAATCAGGTGCTGTGCATCTATTCAATTCCTTGTTCAGAGGCTCCAATCCTAGACTGAAAATTTTCAAATTATGAGGTGAATTTAAAAAAAAATTTACACAGAAAGATCTTATGACCCAATTACCATATGTACTAAAGTAATGAGCTAATTATTGAGGGATTGGGGGAGGAATTTGCCTGCTTGATTTGGCCAATGATCATGTTTTTCTTTATTCTTGTTTCTTCACATATAGCTAAGAGAATTGTTCAAAAGAAAATGACTTTTGAATTGATCCCCCTCCCCCCCACACACAAAGAGCAGTGTCTAGACTACTACCAATTATAACTAAGTTGTCTTTAAGTGGCAGGTGGGTATCTTAAAGGTGGTCTTGTCTGATCTTTTCACAACACAGAAAGTTTGGAGTAAGCTTCTGACTTCGGACAAACATGAATTTGCTGGTTGGTTTCTTTTTTTTCCCCCCAAACGACATATTCCAATACATATAATTGCATTATGATCCAATGTAATATAATAGATAACACAATATTTTTCAAGCTGGTTTTATAACTATTTCTCTCACTTCCTTCAGTGAGCTGCTTTTGATGTGATGTAATATGTTCCACACAGATGTGGAAAAAAGAAATACAAAGGATTTTCTTCACAGTCACCTTCCCATTGGATGGTGATTTTTTTTCTTTAAGTTTTAAATGTGACAAACTGTGAGCAAACAAGTCATAGGAAAGAGCCTTTATAGGCACCAGTGCCCCAGTTCAACAATACCTATGTAATGCATTGCAATTTAAAAAAGTCATATGAACATCATTACAAATAGAAGAGTATACAAATTCTGCTATGGAAACCAAATAATTCAAGATCAGGATGCAAAATTTTTTTCTCTGTTTTAGGCTGTCTCTTTTGGACCATGGAATAAGAAGGAATGAAAGATTTTGTATTCTCACATCCATAAAATCCTTCTTCATATGATTACTGGGCACTCTTTTCTATATATAAAATGTGCCTCTCCCCACAAACACAATTCTTGAAGAGTCTTAGACTGGTCATTGGTAAAAGCAACTAATCAGTTCATATAGGAAATCACTTGTTCTACATCCTCACACTTAGTGCAAAGTTTGTTGTTTCATACACATTTAAACATCTGGTGATGAAAACCAGAAGGAGAAAGTCCTGATGTGATTCTTTCTACAACTCATCATTTTTCAGCTCATTTAGGTTTGTGGTTTTCATGTTTTGAAAAATTATTGCTTGTGAAACCTAACTAACGGTGAACAATGACCACCTACATTAGAGTCTGTACTCAGAATGTTGCTTTCAACATGGGAGTTTGTTTATGCAGCACTATCTCTCTCTCTCTCTCTCTCTCTCCCCTCTCCCCCATCCCTTCCCCACCCACCAAGTATAACAGGGAGAAAGCTCATAATTTAGGAAACTATTACCAAAACAGTAAGAGAAATGACTGTTCTGAATGTTTTTAAGGTCTATTAGTACATCAACGAATCAACATTGTCAGAATTTCATAAGTCAGGGGATCGGGGAAAGAAAAAATAGAATTCGTTTGTCTTAATTCCACATACAAAATTCAACTGTATCATGACTGTTAGCATAAACAACAATTCATATTCAAAACTATTTAACATCTTCAGTGACTCTGCTGGAAAACTGGAACGCTGAAAAAGAATGATCGCTTTTGAATCCGTGTTCATTATACAAGCATGGTGGCTTCTACCTCTCCATTCACCGCTGGACAAGTAATTTTTGAGAGGTTATGATATTAGCTACAGTGAGGTGAACATTTAGAAGCATAAACTCCATCTTTGGAAAAAAAAAGACTGATCTGAATTGATATACAAAACTATTTGAATGAAAAGTGAAGACGAGAATTCAAGCAAGCTGCCAGATCGTGCAGGACCAAATGCCAACAGAAAGTCAAGTAAATATCTGATTTTGGCCTGAATGATTGAACTCATGTCCCCAGTTGTGTGTCTGTAGAGATACAAGCTTATCGAAACAATACCAAACATTCTGGTGAAAGAGGTAAACTTTAGTAAGATGCCTGGATTTTAGGGTAGATGCCACATATCTAGAGATACATGCATGACTGGTGGTATGTTGACTAGCTATCCAGACAACTGACTGCATTTTTCACTCTTCACTCAATATGGCTTAGCACTGTATAGAAATAACCACATCCAGACAATCTTTCTTTAAAAAGATTAAGAATTTTGTGAAGGAAATGCAAGATCCTTTCCTCATCAGGACTTTCTTCTGGCATCCATTGATCCAGTTCTGTAACTCCTAAAATTCTGGGAAGAGCTAAACACATGACCTGGGTTTACTCAAATCTTGACTTGCAGAAAGCAAATGGAAGTGCTCGACCCCTGTTCACACTTCATCAAGACTCAGAGCTTCTCTAGCTCTGTAGAACATAATTTTAACTGACAACAACAACACTTTGCTAGCAATTACAATGTGGACCAGAGGTGCTAACAGGGCTCACATTGTCCAAACCACATCATTCTCTAATTCCAACTACGACTCCATGATTTAGCAGAGAAATGGGGGAAATTATGCAAGCAAATATGGTAACATTCAGACTGCTCCGCAAACCTTGGCTGAGTGATGGGCTGATATCCTTAAACGTTCTAAGTACTCCACTAGTCTTCCTATAGACATGATACAGATTTTTTTTCACCCAAAGATACTACTGAAATGGGAAAACAACAAGTGAAATTGGAAAAGAAACAAGAAACAAAAAACTTTACATTTAACAATGTGTCCTCCCAGCTGAAGTGTCTAGTAATTTTTATTGGCTATCACGGGTCTTCTTCTCAGAGAATACTGGGTATGATTCACTGGAAATCTTTTATGAGCTCAGGGTCAAAAAAACACAAGAAGCACTAATTTGGAATTGCCACTGCATATTGTGGGCTTTCTTGATTAAATCTGCATTCTCCCTTTGCACGAGTAACAACATTTTACTTAAGGTAAATTACACATAAGAGATACTAAGAAGGTAAGGATTAAATAATGGTTTTGGGGGGGAGTTAAAGAAGTGAATAGATTTACTGAAATTTGTCTTTTTCAATTAATCGGGGGAATAAGTGCTAGTTTAATGAAGCAACAATATTATTGCTGTGTGAAAAGCATAGGACATTCCATCAGTTATAATGTATGTATGTGGATAGGCACTTTCAGGTTTTAATTCATTTCTGAAAAACGGGTATTAGCTTATCTCTGTCACCAGCAAATGGGGATTCTCACTGCTACTACCATCACATAGCCTCTGTTAACACGCAGCTATACCTAACAAAACAAAAACTCCCTTTGGAATTACCCAAGAGTGACCACCTGTTGGAACTGTGGAATCTTTTGTCCAAGAAACATTTTGGCAGAGGGAGTGAGATGACTGAGAAAATAAAACAATTGTCTACTTCTCTCTCGAGCGCATTTTAAACACTAGAATACTCCCATGCAGCTGTTTTCCCCTATTCAGACAAAGGCATTCTGAGTTTGGAATCAGTTTCCAGAGACTTCAAATGACTTCATTGTATCCCAAGCTGTCCTAGACAAACCAAAACAAGTGGTCACTCTCGGCTGTACATGCTCAACATGTTCTGACAAAGTAGAACAATTGAGATCCTATAGTAATATGGCTAATTGTGTGGAAGATTTACAAGGCATATCTGAATGGTGTGTGTGTGTGTGTGTGTGTGTAATGAAAACTAGAAGCTTCCCCTCCAACATACTTCACTAAACTATTTACAACCTGTGTAAAATTGTGAATTTGAAAATACTTTTCCACTATCACATATATTACAGAATATTGACTGTTACAAGTACAGTAAAATACCTTCATTCTATTTTTAAAAGATGCAGTATCCTTATATTTGATTTTCTTACTAAAAATTGAATTTTTATCGAAACTGTTCAATATTTAACATATTTAAAGTACCAATGGGCATGAGCTGCTAAACATACATATTATTCTATAATGAAACTGTGAAAAATAGCTGTTTTAATTTGTTATGTACATTTTTAAGCTATAAAATGCAGGCAAAGTCATATACAGCAACAGAAGCTGATTTCCTAGTAAGGTAAATAATTTATTTTTCCAGACAGCATGGAGTATTACAAAATCTTCCTTTAAAAATCTTTTTTCTTGGTTGGCTATCATGTAAGAATATGTATCCATGAACATATGGATATGCCACTGGCTACATGTATAGAAAAGTATATTCATGTGCATTTATTAGGGGCATTTCTATAGAGAGGCAGGCATGGTGATACCGATAACAGAATGAGGAGATGTAGCTCATTGGCCTCTTTATACATAAAAATAAACAAATCATGTTGGAAAGGGATGTTTTCAAATTGTATGCACTAACCCCCATGAAACTAAGGGAGATTTTTTTTTCTTCCCACTAAAGATTTAGTAAGAAAGTACACTTTAAATTTAGTACACTAAAATTTACAAGTACACTAAATTTACAAGAATTATTATGGGGGTAAATTCTGAGAATGGACCATGAGAAACGGGCATTAGACTTTTGATACCCATTCATATTCATAAATCACCTCATTTTTAGTCCTTTGACATCAGAATTTAACCCTCCCTACAATATGAATGCTGGTATTCTTAACACTGGTCAACTCTGCCACTTTCTTACTTTAAATGGTAAGCTACTGTAAACACCATTATTGCAGCCACATCTCTAAGCAGCTGAAACCATGATTAATAGGAGTACACAATACAATCGAAGGCCTCTACTTACCAGATTTATTCAACTGCACCTTTGGTAAGCATAATAAAATACAGAATAAGGAGTACTGCATCTTTATCCCTGTTGAAATTGTCACTGTAATGAGTTGATATTCAAAGTGCAGAAAAGCTTTGATTTATAAAAGAAATGGCAATTCAAAGTTTTTTTTTGATTCTTCTATTCAAAAACAGAACACTAAGTTATTGTGTGAGTGTATTTTTCTCCCCAAAAGCTATTGACTCTTAGACTTTTTCAACCACGAGAAATGATCTTTCTAATCATCTGGAAGCTGGCACTTGTAAATACTGTGGCATTTCCTTGGTTCTTTTGCAGACAATCATCTTCCTATCTACCTCTTAAACTTTAAAGTGAATAAAAAAGTGCCCTTGTTCAAAAAAAAATGGTGTGGTTTACCTTATTGTTATTCAACTGCTTTTGAAAACAACTATTCTATAGTGTTTCCTAAAACTGATGCCAGACATGGCTGCCTAAGCTTTAGGGTGTATGCCTTTGGAGATTTCTGTCTTAATAGCCTTCAGGGAATTTGTAGCAAGTTACAAGGAGGATCCAAGGTTTATGTGTGACTGATGGGGATGAAAGCAAAACAAGACAAAAAAAAAGTAAACTTTTTCTCAAATAAGAACAGTATATGAAAGGAGAGTCTATTAAAATGTAAAAGATTGAACTCCTTAACCTTGACACTACTCTAATTCCCACGAAGTTCTGGAGATCTACAGGCATGCAAAGGGATGGAGCTCAGATATTCTGCAGCAATCTTAGATTTAAAAGCAATTAAAGAAAGAGTGGGAAAGGTCACCTGCATTCATGTATGTGCACACACAGCTTCAACTTTTAAAGGAAAAAATGCTTCAGGGAGGAAGACCATAAAATTTCCTAGAGCTCCACCTTTTTCTCTGTTATTCACTATGTACTGTGCTTATAACTGAAGTAGTAAATGGGTGCTGAGAGAAAATGGAGGCCTTTCCATTTCTGCAAAGCTAGCTGTACTTGGGGAAAAAAGAGTTCTTCCATTCCAAATCACTCTGCTGTTGATTTTTGTGGCAACAAAATACCCATGATGAATTCAGAAAGCTCACTAAGGTTAAATAAGTTGCTTGCCCTTATAATGCACCTGAAGGTGCATTACGCACCTTGCTTGCCCAAAATAAATTCCAGTTCCTAAATTTTGATCTAAATATTTTTTGATTATTAAAGTGACTCATTTCTTTATTTGTGCTTGATTCCATTTTTTTTTAAAACTACTGGATGTAATGATACGTTAAAGGGGAGATGGGGGAACAGCAACAGGCCTTATCTTTTAGCTTACTGTTCAGGTCTGGCTTTCACTTGCTGGGGATGAAAAAATATTCTTCCCTCACTCCCCTTTTCCAATTTTATAAGAAAAAGTCATTTAGATCTGTGCTGAATCTAAATCTAGCTATATATCTCAAGGGCCTCCTAAATACTGGGCCTATTGCTTTTATATATCTTAAACCCAAGACTACCTATAACCACTGAAGAATGTTGCTTGAGAAAGATTAAGTGGATGGGCCTTTCTGAGAAGAAGCCATCATGAAGTCAATCGACATTTTGGGAGGTGGGGGTCAGGGATGGTGGCAGCAAGGGAGGTATGAATGTATGTTTTATTACCCTCTGTTCTCTTGATTAGTAGTTAACTCATCCAAATTGTCAATTATTTCCTATTAAGAATAGACACGGACTTGGAGAAGTTGGGCAGTGGGGGGTGGGGAGTCGCACACAGTAAAAGATAGAAAAACTTTCTAGGACGTAACACCCAGTGCAAGGCTGCAGCCCTAGTCTGAGGTGGTTTGGAGTTGCTCAATTTTTCTACTGAAAAATTGGCAGACAATGTAGAGCATAGATTTATACTAAGCTTTTAACCTGAAAACTGTTACACTATTATTTCAGTGTTATTTCAAATACTTTTAATACTATCAGAGACAAATCTCACTTGTTTCATTCAATGTCCCTAGTTCCTGCTTCAACAGTCACTTCTCAGAACAAGACTACGGAGATTTAAAGATAATCCCAAACAAGGCTACTTCAGTAACCAAAGTTATTTCAGACTGTTCAAACACTTAAAAATGAGCTAGGAGCATTGTGAGGTTAATTTGTGCCTTTCCCAAATCCAAGTTTTCATAATTAAAATATATTGCAAAGGTCTTTCTGGAGACCCTTTATAGCTAAGCTATAAAAAACTTGAACAAATAAAAATAACTCACCAAACTCCTTCTACCATATTGAAATGGGGGAGGAAAACCTCCACTCTGAGTGAAAGAGAGGAAATTATTCTTTTTAAAAGGATGTTTGTTGGTAACATATTGCTTTATTTATCACAGACTTGATTCATTACAGATAAGCTCATAGTTTTTTGGGGGGTGGGGAGAGTTGGAGGAGAAGTAATAATTTTTTCTTATCCTTGATGCAGAAGTCTGGATTGAGCATACCTGCAAAAGCCAGTGAGGCACCACTGAGCCTAAATATAGTTCTAAAAACAAAAACCTGTAGAGAAGAGCCCATGGGCTACTCTCTTCTCTGCTTTCCAAGAGTAGAAACTAGCACCATTTCAGTCTCTCCTCTGGGAGCATTCTCTTTCTACTCATTTCATTCCAAGGAGAGCTGACCTGGTAAGGTAGGGGTTCCTTCCCCTCTGTACCACCTGCCTCAGCTTTCTAGCCATCAAGTGAAGTCTAAAACGTGAAAAGGGGAGCACAATCTTTAACTCTGTCACCCCCTGGAGCAGGACAGCAAACGACAGAAAGATTACTTCAACATTGTGAAAGTAACCAAGACATCAGAAAAACTCTGTGTGTGTGTGTGTGTGTGTGTTTAAACAATTCTTTTAGTAAGTATGAAAATTGGTAATGTGAGTCCTCAGTGAAATTATTGTAGGAAAGACCTTTTATTCATTATTGCTTTTCTCCTCAAGAGGCGCATTATTTCCTTCTCCACTTTGTCTGATTTTTCATGTTCACTGACTTTGCTTGGACAGCCACACCTCTTACACCTTGGTGCCAGTGTGTCTAAGAAAGTTTCTTTTCCTGATTCCTTGTAATCAAATACTAGGGGTTGGAAGAGATGATGCCTAGGTGACAGAAAACTTCACTATGAAACAGGGCAGTAGTTTTTTTTGTTTGTTTGTTTTGCTTTGTTTTTGTTTTTTAAAGAAAAGGCTCTTCCTATACAACCCTAAACCATTTCTATACTAGTCCATGTCAGAGTAGACACTTGGACTGGACCTCAAATGAAACACAGTTTGTCCCCTTTTTGTTTTAGCTGACGGACAAAACAGAATCAAAATGAAACAAAGAACGAACAACAACAAACACATGAGAGATTAAATGTCGGTTTCCTTAAGGGCATGGCATAATGACAAGTTGTGTGTGATCTCTAGTGCCACCATCACTACCGCAAAAGTCTGCTGGAGTGCCCCTTGATTTTCAGGTAATGGAACCTCTCCAATAGATTCTTCTCATCTATTTTCATGCAGCTTGCTGGTAACATAAATTAGGCATGTTTTCTACATTACCTAGATGGTAATCCAAAAAAAGGGGGTGGGGAGGATTGGGGATAATAATCCAAGTTAAAAAGGTCTTGCTCTTTGCCATCGATTTGTGGTAACTGATTTTTAAAATATCAATAAGAAAATGTCTTACAGCTGAGAAAATGTTTAAGCTACAAACATCTTTAAACAGTAGAGGACACAGCATGGAAAAACAATGCCTGTCTCTTCAAGCATCCGAGTCACTCATCTCCGGGCCAGCATGAGAATGCTGCTTGTGTAGCCATGGTAGGGTTACCTTCAGATAGAGAGGAGAAAAGTACCATTCCGTTTTCCTGCTCTGGTTTCAGACATCGTGGGATGAGGATGCCCTTTTTGTGTTAACACTGCGATGGGGATTCAGCCCTGCTGAATGGGGTGTAGCTAAGAGACCCAGCTCTTACGCTCTGCTCCGCTGGACAGGTCTCATGCCTCAAACCAGCATATGCCTCCGACGGTGCAGTGCCAAGTGATCTGACCGGGAAAAACTTCGATCACAGTCTGCGCACTTGAATGGCTTCACTCCCGTGTGTTTGCGGTAATGCCTGGTCAGTTCATCCGAACGAGCAAACTTCCAGGTACAGCCTTCCCAGGTACATTTGTATGGTTTTTCTCCTGGGGGGAAAAAAACACACAACAAGAGATATATCTTTGGTACTTGATGAAAGTGAAATAGTAATTCAACCAGCAATTTATGAGTGGAAGACTACTGCCATCGCATTGTTTATTCCCTACCTCCTAGGACAGAGGGGCAACATTCAACACCTATGCCAGTGGCACACAACCATCTGTTAAAAAGTTCTGGAAAAAATGAACATACTACGTGGTTCAAGGGATGGAACTTGCCCTGATCAGAAGCACATTTATCTCCAAAATTAGCTTAAACCATTTGTGCTGGGAGTGACCACAAAAAAACAAACAAAAAACATGCTTAGGCTCCAAATAGACTTTAAAATATAGAAAACTGTATAAAAATAAATTTTCAGAAGTATGAAAAATTAAGTAGACTTAAAATATCTACCATCCTAAATAATAATAGCTTATATTCATTCATTTCACATGGCACCTTCACAATTCATAAAACACCTTTAAAGCAAACCTAGGAAGATTGATAGGTCAGATTGGTTATACTAATTTTTTCAAATGATGAAACTGTTACCCAAAGAGTTTAAGTGATTTGCCTTAGTCCGTAAAGCTGAGCAATATACCCAGGATATAAACTCAGGTATTTTTAACTCCCAGTATAGAGGGGCAGCTGTGGATAAAGCCATTGCACTGTGGTGCTGTGGCTAGACTGTTGGGCCTGGAGTCAGGAAGACCTGAGTTCAAATTTAGCCTCTGACACTTACTAGTTATGTTACCCTGGGGAAGTCACAACCTCTGTTTGCCTCAGTTTCCTCATCTATAAAATGGGGATAATAATAGCACCTATCTCCCACGGTTGTTGTAAGAAGCAAATGAGGTAATATTTGCACAGTGCCTGGCACTTAATAAGTACTATATACATGTTAGCTACTGTTATTATTATTATAATACCACATTGCTGTCATTAAAAATAAAATCCTCTTTATTAACATCACAAAGTTTCTGTGATGCTCCCGAGTTAGTAATGATTCCTCCCCTCCCTCAGTGCCCTTACACTTTTGTTTTGCACCTCTCTGATGCAAATCTGTAATCTTGTATGTTATAATTAACCTGTGTTTTCGATTCATCCTCCAAATTAGACTGTAGGTTAAATGAAGGTGGAAACCAGGTCTTACCTTTTAATTCCTCCAAAGCCCCTAGCACTGTGCTTTTGAAAGCATAGCAGGCATTTAATAAATATTTACTGAATAAATTAATGAAAGAATGAATGGGAGCAGAGCTGGAGATGATGACAAACAGATTCTAAGCCACTATTGCCCTTTAATACAAATAGCAAGAGGAAAGACGGCTCTGAGAGCTGCTGAAATGGGCACCCTGCCCCCCATGTTGGTCAGGGCTGATGCACTGTTCCATTCAGTGGTTTCATTAGTCACTTGGGGGAGGCCATATCCTCTCTCCCACTGGTGGGGAGTATGTGCAATGCATAGATAGTGGCATCAAGAATAATCTATACCAGGGGCAGCTAGGTGGTGCAGCAGATAGAGCACCAGTCCTGGAGTCAGGAGGACCTGAGTTCAAATCCGGCCTCAGACACTTGACACTAACTAGCTATGTGACCTTAGCCAAGTCACTTAACTCTGACTACCTAGCTCCCCCAAAAAAAAGAAGAAAAAGAAAAAGAAGGAAAAAAAGGATAATCTACACCTAAGAAATGATGAGGATGTATACAAGAGCAGGAAATTAAATTTAGGCAAGGTTGTTGGCCAACTCTTCACTCTCTCACCACCCTGTATCCCTTCTTAAAAATGGGTACATACATATTAACTCATTAAGGAGTTGCAGAGGTACTTATCAACATTTCGAAAGTTATAGGTACATGATATATTTTCTAGTCAAAATGTCCAAGGGTATAGAATTACTACTTGGATTTATCATTTCTCATTGAAAAATGGAAAGCCAGAAGGAAAACGAAGAGTTGCAATACACATACACACACACACCCACATACACCCCTAAATAGAACTGGCCATAAGACTTGAGTCACCACCTGGAAATTCCCTGAGGTGATAGCAACAAGAATAGGTCACCTTTATGTATCACTTCATAGTTTACAAATTGCTTTCCTTACAAATACAACAGCTCTTGTAAGGCAAGTGGTGGTAAATCAGATTTTGGTGATGTGTTCCTGAGATATACAATGTTTGGGTAGCTCAAGAACATTTCAGAACAACAAAAGACCAACCTGATCAATCTACAAGGTGACTCTGAGTCTGAAAAAGGCAACCAGATCCAGGAAAAGATGAGCCCCCCCCCCACCCCCGCCTTTCTGGTATTAGATTAGAAAGTACCTTTTGGCTACTGTGTTTGGGTAGTTGTTTTTTTCCTCCCCTGCAATGCCCGTAGTGGAGGAAAAAAAAAATCCTCAATACAACAGTGATATTAAGATGTAATCCATAAATTAGGTCGGGCCTTGAGAAACTTTCTTAATCAGGGTCAAGTCCCGTAAGTCATTGTATGATTCTGAAGAAGTAATCTGACCTCCTACTTCAGTTAACTTGCAAGGACAGTAAAATATGCAAAAGCTTTGTCAGGAAACAGATCTGCTTTCCAGAGCCCAAGAGGGCTCCTAGGGGAACGGGACAAAGGCTGACCCAGGTGTGTCAGCTGCCTGCTTGTCATTCAGGGTGGAAGCACTGTCCCCATCCAACCCCAGACTTGTTTTGTTCCATCAAGATGCTCAAACATTAATGACATAATGTCTGACAGCTGACGTGCCGCCCAGGCATTACGCTACACAAATATGGGAATGAAAGAATTATTGCTTTTCCACACTCTTTTGGCTGAATGGCATCCTACTGAACTGGGAAACTTTTTTGTTTGTTTGTTTGTTTACACTTTTTGGTGAGGTGATTGGGGTTAAGTGGCTTGCACGAGTTTAACTAACACTAGTACGTGTTAAGTGTCTGAGGCTGGATTTGAACTCAGGTCCTCCTGACCCCAAGGTTGGAGCTCTATCCACTGCGCCACCTCGTTGCCCCTGGGAAACTTCTAAACATCACGTACCAGATACACGTGCTGTGCTTTAATGAAACCAGTGGATTACACAGAAAACCAAACTTGCTGATCACACTTAGTGAGCAGCCAGGTGGCCTGGTGGGTAGAATGTCAGGAAGATTTTTCTTCCTCAGTCAGAATCCAGCCTCAGACACTCACCAGCTGTGTGACCCTGGACAAGTCATTTAACTCTATTTGTCTCAGTTTCCTTGTCTGTGAAATGAACTGGAGAAGGAAACAGCAAACTATTTCAATATCTTTGCCAAGAAAACCCCAAATGAAGTCAAAAAGAGTTAGATGTGACTGAAATGACTGAACGGCAACAGCAATAGTAATATCATCATCATCTTCAACCACCACCACCACCACCACCATCACCTTATCTAAAAAAAGCCATTTTTGAAGAGTTGTGGAAACTGGAAGTTATGGAATGAATGAACGAAGAGTATTGAATTGACTGCTCACAAAAGCAGTTCATATACAAAGTAAAATTCTGATATAATTGTGTCATGACCAAACACAGAGGGTACAGCTTGACTGGAAGAAAATATCAGGTTCAAACAGTCCCCTGACATTGTCAGTGCTGATGTCAAAAAGGCAAGCCACAGACCAGACGTGGCCAAGCCACTGAGTAATTAGTGGACCAGCCGCACAATAGTAATAGAAACCTCTATAACAGTCCCAGGTTTTCAAAGCTCTTTGAACATATCATCTTATTTGGTCCTTACGGCAACATCGTGAAGTAGGTACTATTAAGTGTCATTTATCTCAATTTTACCCGAGGCAACTCAGTGACTTGCCCAAGGTCACACAGTTAATGTCAGATGTGGCAGCATTCAAACCTAGATGTTTCTAACTCCAAGTTTAACCCTGGATCCACTGCCCCACCCTGACCCTGTAGCTGCCAGTACTAAATTCTAAAGTGGGAGGCGCCATGGTTGGGTCACACCCATTCGTGGGTTATCTTGTCCTAGATCCCATCACCTCCCAGCTCCTTTAGCATTTGCCCCCATGGGTTATTTATTCCTTAGCTCTTACCTACAGTTTCCCAACCTTCAGTCTAACATGCTCAAGTCTCTCCTATGTCACATTCCCTAGATTAATCCCTATCCCCTCAAGCTATTGTCTTATATCTTTGACTTTTCCATGCCAAACTCCTAGTCAGAGTTGTTTAAACTTGTTGGCTCGGTTTCCTCACCACCCACTCACTTCTCAACACCTCAGAATCTGGCTTTTACTCCATCACTCTACTGAAAAACTGCTCTCTCCAAGGTTACCAAAGATCTCTGAACTACTTAACCCAATGAATTTTTTTTTTTTCATCACATCCCTCAGTGGCTGTTGACAATCAGCCCCCATCTCCTGATTATTCTTTCTTCCCTTGGCTTCTGAGACACTGTCTTCTCTTAGTTCTCCTTCTATCTGCTGATTGCTCCTTATCAACTTTGCTGGATAAAAATCATCCATCCAGTAAGTGTGGATATTCCCCAAGACTGTCCTGAGTTCCTTTTTCTTTCTCTTTACTTTCTGTTAGTGATCTCAATCAATCAATCAACAAGCAGTTATTAAGCCCCTACTATGTACCAGCTACTCTGTGAGGCATGGAGATACAAAGACAAAAATTAACCAGTTCCTGGCCTCAAGGAGCTTCCATTCTACCAGGAGAAGCAATGGTTCAATATATTAGTATGTACATGGTCCTGGGAAGAAGGGCATTATTAAGAAGGGGTTGTAGAATGGCTACCCATAGAACATGGTGCCTAAGCAAAATTCTGAAGGAAGTAAGGGATTATTAGAAATGGAGTGGAGAAGGAGTACATTCCAGGGATGGGGGATGGCTAATAGAAAGGAGAGACAGGAGATGGGAGTGCTGTCTGTGTGGAACAGAAGGAGGTCCAGTTCGGCAAGTCTTGGAATATAGGAAGGGGAATAACAAATAATAAGGTTGGAAACTTCTGTTAACTTCTGTTTTCCTT